AGCGAAAGGATGGACGTTTGGCCTAGTTGGCTCGGTACACATCATCCTCACTTCAGGGGACCAAGGTTCTAATTCTTCGGCAACGAAACGTGACCACCAGCTCCCTGTAACTAGCACGATACAATTGCCGTAAGACTCCGATCTTTCTATTCTAACGTAGGATAACCCTCCCCTCCCATTCTAAACATGGAATTGTGATTGGGTAAACTCGAATTTCAGGCGAACGCAAGAGTCATCAACAATTTCTGCGGCGAGCGCGAGTGGATCAGGAACCTTGCGCAGGACCCCGCCACCGCCTCCAACACGTCGGTGTGCCTCACGCTGGACCTCGAGAAGGACCAGGTACGTGCACCCCTAGCCACCTCCGCCGCTACAACTACGTCTTTTGTTGTTGTTGGTGCTGCTCCTGTCTCTGTCGTCGTCGTCGTCGTCGTCGTCATTTTCCTGCGATTTGCTTGACCTCCACGTATCCCGTTATGATCCAATCGGCCGCAAGAAAGTTAACGCGTGGTCCTTGTCATTCGACGCTGATCAGGATGAACAGGATGAAGAATAAGGTTCGAACTTTATGAAGCTGACTTATTTGCTTGCATTGGTGCGAACTGGGAACTAATACAGTCAGCGCCCGCAATAAGAAATACCTTTAAAAGAAATTGAGACTCACTTGTCCACGAAAAATAATAAAACAGGGTTGAGCAACATAGCTCAGTCTGGGTCACACAATAAGAAATGTCCCCGTAAGAAACAGCGGCGACCGCTGCCCTACCACATATTAAGAATCGAGGGGTTACGGGTGAGTGTGTCGAGTAAGAAACACCCCACAGCTCCTCCTATCTCTCGCTATTTCCCCCCTCTCCCGCTACCACCCCCCTTCCATAGTGCATTACTAGTTGTACGACGAGGGGGGAGTGTGTTTGTTTTGCGGAGCCCCCTCCGCCCCCCTGCCGGCTCTGGCGCTCTCTGGCGCTCCGACTCTGGCAAACACACCAGATAGGCTGCGGACCACGATATGCTGTCTGCTGTACGGTTTTGATGGTGCTCTCCGCCAGCTCTCGTGAGGGCAAATCATTTGTTTAATTTGAACGTTGTGTAATGTAGTAAGCAAGCAGAGTAAATAAGAAATTCAGCAGGATTTGGCGGCACGAAAATAAGAAACTTGACAATAGACATTGAATGACATACGCTGAGTTTATAGCCCACAAATAAGAGTTCGGGGCTGGACCTGAAATAAGCGTTTCTTAATTGCGGGCGCTAACTGTAGTCCCCCCCCCCATCCCCCTCCCCCTGCACAATGTATACATGTGGTGATCGCAGGTGAAGACCATGGTGGGCCTCCTCGAGACAGAAGGGGTAGCGTTCGACGTGGGCAGCTACAGAGACGCGCCGGCGGGGCTCCGCATATGGTGCGGCGCAACCGTCGAGAAGGAAGACGTGGAGGCGCTGATGCCGTGGCTCGAGTGGGCTTACACGGAGGCAAAGAGCGGCTGAGCAGGGTAGTAGGATAGCGACTGAAGTAGGCTAGCACAGATCGACATAGGGTAAGGGCGGCACAGCGGCAGGGTAGGTTCTTGTTGTTCGGCTTGTATATTAGCGGTGGAGAAGGGTACCCGGACCTACCGAGGCCGGTGAAAATTGTATGGGTGGCCTAATGGGAGGCTGAAAGGTTGCGGCGGAGACTAGATGGACATGGGAGTGGCTGAGGGAGGGTGGGGGGTTGGTCCATGCACCCTGCAATTTTGCGACGAGGATACCTGCAACCTGGATCGCTGGATGGGCGAGTATGGGTGAAAACGGCTGGTGATACAAATGGGGCAGTTGCTTGACACGTCGCAATCCCCCCCTCCCGTCCCTTGCGCCATAGTATGGAGGCAAGATGATTCTTGAATTTATGATCGATTCGGATGACGTAGTCGGGGTGAACGTAGTCTATGTGGTGACGATGGCCTGGTCGCTTTGGTTTGGGGTAGTGGGTTCAGGCGTTGATCGGCCTGTTATTAATGGAGGGTCGATATGGAGGTTTGTCTTCTAGGTGTTGGGCAGGTCCCGATGTGCAGGGGTGGGGGGGGTTGGGGGGGGACGAGGATCTCCAAATTTTGCGGGGTTTCATAGCAGGTTGACTGCCGTTGCAATCCGTCTTTCGAATACATGAATACTGTAGTCCCCGTCTTTGATACCGGGTGGGATCGACCTTGTAGGTAGCGTGCCAGACGACCTACGTTCTTTCGAGGGTTGTTGCGTAACGATGAAGTGCGTCTTCTTTGTCCGGTCTAGGTTTTGAGTTAAGTGCACGCGAAGTTTCTGGCGAACGGGCATGATGGAGGTGGAAAGAGGGAGAGGCGGAGGCTATCGCCTACGTAGACATACGAGAACGTTCTTCGTGCATTTTAGTGTGCCAACCGAGTTTCCACACAATTTGGTCCGGCGGGGATTGTTGGCTTAAAACATGCCAGGACAGAAAACGACGGTGGCAACGTGGATTTTACCGATTGTACTGGGCTAACCTGAATCTTGCTTTTGCCGCGGCGGGACAATCGTGGCGAGAGCCGCGTGCAGCTACCCTAGGAGGTCAAATTCCAGACGCGGATAGGGATGTATCGCTGAGAGTTTCGGTTCCTTGGGGATAGCAATTGATGCAGGGTCCGTCACTGACTCGTTCAGTTTGCTATTCGCTCTGCTTTGTGTCACGGTAGCATGAACGGGCGCTAAATAAACACTAGGATTCTTTCCATCTCACGATGGTTTGAGGAGGGCTGGGGTATACCTTCGGGTGTACCTGAATCAGTGACGGTACCTCCCTAGGATTCCGTCCCTCACGTGTTTGAACGATACGGCCGATCTGAAAGGAAGAAAATTTGACCACACCCCTAAGAAAGCAACCTATATGTGAGTCGATGCATGGATAGTCCCACCTTGATTAGACCCTCCTTGCTACTTCCTCCTTGATTCGTCCCCCTTGAGCTGGCATCAATGCGACATCCGCTTGATTAGACCCCCCTTGCTAGCCCCCCCTTGACTCAAATGTCAAGATCCCATGAACTTATCATGGAATGAACCAAAACTAATTGGATGGACCCTAGCCGGTCGCTGTAACGCTAAAGCATGAGGAAACACCACTGTTAAATTTGCATGCAGGAATGGTCCCGTTTCTCTTACGTGTGGTTGTTCCCACATCGTGAGTCGGCCGTAAGTACATCTGCAACCGTTTCCTTCACACACTTCCAAGGAGCCGAGACGTTAAGAGTAAGACTGCAGGGAACACTATCGAATGAGTCCGGCTTGCACCACGACTGTCGCTACTACTTTGCACCCAAGCGCACAACTTGGCGAGAGAAAATGAACCGAGCACGCGCCCAGCTCACGAGGCGACAGACTCATAGCACCTGCCTCCAAGGCGATGCTCATGGTGGAAAGCACGAGGACAACCGCTTATTTTCTCACGCCCATACGTCCTTGCTACAACGTACACTGCACGATCTTGCGCTGAGGATCGTTCAAGTGACGACGCCATTTTTGGCGAGATGACAAACGAGATACAGAAACAGACTCCTGAACACGCTCGTACCCGCCGCGCGGCGACAAAAAACAGGCACAGAACATCGTTGCTGGACTCCCCATCCTTTGACGACACCCACCCCAGATAGACTAATAATCCAGGACTTGGAAGACTCCGCTAAACACCATGGGCCGTAGTTCAAAAGGTCATGACCACAACCGTTTAGACTACCATATCTAGAAGGGTTTAATCCTCTGTGAATAGTTCGCTTGTGACCACGGAAGGCGTCCGTCTCAAGAAGACCAGTACGGACACGTCAGAGTACTGAGCGCAGACTGGAACGGTTTTGTTGATCGTGAAGACAACAACAGCAACAACAACTGCCGGCTGACTACAGTGTACACACTGTACAAGTACTTTCATCTCGTGTTGTCACATATGGCCTCCGGATACCGGAGGATCATGCTATTTTTCAGGTTGTCTGCTTCGTCGAGATGGCACGTAGCAAACGCATCTAACTCACACGTCGGGGGCGGGCGCACTTCATCCACGATCAAGTCGTAGGTCCCACTTCCTGCATGTGCTCCACTATCTCAGCCCCGGCGTCTGCTACGCCCTCGTTGTCACCTCGAAGGGTAACCAAGAGACTCAATCCATAACCTGGTGGAGTGTGTCACGATCAAGCTCCAGGTTCACTTCGAAGGGACATCAGCCACGTGCAACAAAACTAGGTAGATCGTGCTGGTTGCTAGGAGGAACACTCGCACGTGTCTACATCTTGGCGGGTTGGTGCAGATAGTCAAAATATGATGCCACATGAAAATCGTGCCCAACATGGCCATTCTTGTGAAAGGGTGATAGAAAAGGAGGACGACCCCAGAATGGAAAAAACAAGTCAAAGTAAGGGTGACCTATCTCAGACCGACGGAAGAGGTTGGACCTGATGAGATGTCCGGAGCGACGGTTATGGAGCCGCTAGCGTACAGACTTGCGGGACAGGAGTGGTTATCTAGGAAGAGGCAACGGTGTGGTCTTCGGAAGAGAGGGGAAGAAGAAGAGTGACAGAGGAGGGGTGGTGCACAGCACACCACTCCGCAGCCCTGATGACGCCGAACCGACCTGACTAGGCGGTGACGCAGACACAGTCTGTGCTGGCGTGCTGACGTGGTACAGCACTGACACGCTACCGGGGAATCTCCCCGGGCGTGAGATGACAAACAACCATCTGGGCGGTTGCAGTATGTATTGCGACGCCGTCATCGGTCAACGGCAACACAAGCAAACGCGCAAACTTGGTCATCTACACCAAGGTGCTGAGGGTTCACGTCGTATACACATGGTACCACCCCTGCGGCAGTAGTGGGTATCTCTGTGATAAACTAGCAGCAAGGGTCACGTGCGCGGGAGTCTCGAGCGGCATACGCATCGGGTGTACAAGGAACTACACTGTATCATCAGTGGAGGCGATCAACAACCGGAGTCCTCTATATCAGTAGCAGGAGCGGGATCGGAAACAAGAAGACCACAACCGGAGTCCTCTATAATATCAGTAGCAGAAACGGGGTGGGGAAGTCTCGGGTACAGGCGGTAGTACCACGAGCAAACTTACTCCTACAGCAGGAAGTACTTTCATGAAGACGAAGAAAATAAAGCTGGAACGAGCAATGGATACCGCAACGAGCAACACAAGAGGTGGAAGCGCGTTCGCCAGCGATAGTTCTACGAACCTGGCAACCGTGATCAAAGGCCTCAAGAAATTCGACGGAAAGGACCCAGCTGAGTTCAAGACATGGATGAAGAAATTCTGCGTGGCGTTAGGTGTGACCAGGAATGACATCCTGCCACTGCTGAAGAAACAAAGGAAGCCAGATCCCGCAGACACAGCGGCCTTCGACTCCTACACAAGGGCAAACGAAGATCTCTACGCCATTCTTTTCCTCCTAGTGGAACTTCCAGCCGCCTTGTCGATACAGAAGCACGAAGACGACACTGGCATCAGCGGCGACGGACAAGCTGCCTTCGAGGAGCTCTGCAACAACTATGACAGGGTAACGGACGAGGTCATCAGGGCCAAGATGGAGGAGCTGGAGAACAACCCCATGAACCCTGGTGAAAATCCCGACGACTACTTCAACCAGAAGCACCTACTTCGTACCCAGCTGGATAAGATGGGAGAACCCAACTCCGACCGCCGCGTGAAGGACATCTTCGTACAGGGCTTCTCCGACGAGTACAAGGACGTCAAAGTGATGGCGTTCAGAGACCCAACCTTCAACGTCCTGGACATGCAATCCACCATGCGCAACATCTTCTTGGACGAACAATCGTGCAAGAGATGGAAGGGACGCATAGCTGGTCGAGGATTTGCCATGGCAACGACCGCGTCTGACATCATCTGCCACAGATGCTACGAGCCGGGACACATCAGGAGGAACTGCCCCAAGATCAAGAACAGGGCGAAGAAGAAAACGAAGCCCGCCGGAGCTACCAAGTGGTGCTCCAAGCACAACACCACGTCTCACTCGGACGAGGAATGCTACCAGCAAGGAGGAAAGCGCCCGGAAGACACCAAGGACTCAAGTAAAGCATTCACCGCGTGCTCCAACTGCACTCACTGCTCGTCGGCGTCCAACAAGCACGACTCAAACAATGAAGTGGCAGTTGTCGACTTCACCCGGGAGGAGGACGCCTTTGACATCGGCTTCATGTTCGCCACGTGTTTCCGCATCTCAGGACGCAACTTCGCCGCGAGCTCCACCGGGGTAGGCCTGCTGAGCGCGGACACCTGGCACAGGAGGCTTGGACATCTCAATGCTCGGAGCCTAGACACCCTTCGGAAGGACACCGGTACCGGGGTGGACTATCGCGACAGTCTCTCCCCTTGCGGGGTCTGCCAGATCGCGAAACACAAGCAGTCCCCCCACCCGAAGCAATCGACTCGCGAACTATCACGGCCTGGACAGCTTGTGGTCATCGACAACATGGGGCCTGTTAATCCACCTGCGAAATATAAAGGAGGCTCCTTCCCGTACGCGTGCAAGATCACCGACGACTACACGAAGATGAAAGAAGTGTACCTGCTTCGCAAGAAATCTGACACGACCGAGGCGGTGCACACGTACAACATGTGCGTCGCAGCGGCAGGAGGCTACCGGATCGAGACCATCCGCTGCGACAAGGGAGGCGAGAACGCCGGATCCGAATTTCGGAACTACTGCAAGAATTCAGCTATCAAGCTCGAATACGCCGCCACCAACACCCCTCAACAAATTGGTGTATCGGAACGGGACGGACAAACCCTGGCCGGAGTCACCCGGTGTCTTCTGAAGGATGGAGATTTTCCGCCGTCCATGTGGGGGGAGTTAATGCTGACTGCAGCATACCTGTTGAACAGGTCCTCACACTCAGCACTGGGAGGAGCTACGCCATACTCGAAGTTGCACAATCAGTCACCTGATCTCTCGGGACTTCGGGTCATTGGAGCGCGCGCCTTCGTACACCACGAGAGATACCGAAAGAAGCTGGACGACAGAGCTTTCGAAGGCAAGCTATGTGGTTTCGGCCTCGACAGCCAGACCTACTGGGTATTGAATCCATCCAACAGGGCCGTGGTCGAGAGCCGGAATGTGACTTTCATCGAATTTCCACCCCGCTCAGTGCCCTTCCAGTATTCCACTGAAGCAAACGGGTACGAGAGCGACGTGCTGAGGTTCACCTCCCTGCTGGACAGCCCCCACTCGACGAGCGACCTGGACTTCACGCCGCAGAACGAACTCCTTCGGCAAGAAGTCCGGAAGATGCAGCAATACAATCTCGCTCGGGAGGAGCTTCGCCTAGAACTGGACGGGCACGAGGACTAACATGGAAACGGGCAAGATCTCGGCGACGGGGACGCTTCATCACCACATCTCCCATCGACGGCAGCTGGACCGTCATCCGAGACCCACGCATCTAGCCCCAGTCCATCATCTTCGAACCCGCCTGAACCGGACACTTCTGCATCAACTGGATCCTCCGGCATGCGGCGCCTGCAAGTCACCAGAGCCAGCACGCGCGGGAAGCCCACCAGCGACGATCATATCGACGTCAACTTGGTTCCTGCCAATCTGGAAGTCACCATGAACGACCGCGGTCGAGCCCATGCTACAACGGGCCGCGTAGAGCCATCCGGTCTTTCCTTCACTCAGCTGGCTGAGATAGCCGATCAAGCCCAGCTCCCATGCCCTGGCGATACTGAGGATTTCGCCCACGTTGCGGAAGACCCCTTCACGGTGCCGCGTGCTCACGCCTACGTCACGACCACTCACGAACACCACGGGATCTTGGAGGAGACGAATCAAGCGATCAAAATCCCCAACACCTACAACGAAGCCATGAGAATCGAATCAAGCGATCAAATTCCCCAACACCTACGACGAAGCCGTGAGCTCTCCCCAGCGCGAAATATGGAAAGGAGCGTGCAGCAAGGAAATGAACAATCTGCGGAAACACAACGTCTACAATCTGGTGCCCCTCAGCAGCGTTCCCAAGGGAGAGAAGATCCTCGGAACGAAATTCGTCTTCAAGAAAAAGCTGGACGGACGCTTCAAAGCTCGCCTGGTAGTCGGAGGACATCGTCAAGAGCCAGGACAGGACTACGGACGCAGCTACGCACCAGTATGCCGTATCGGGAGCATTCGCATGACGTGCGCCATTGGCTGCCACAACAACTGGCCCATCTACCAACTGGACGTTGTCGGTGCCTTCCTGAACGCCCTCTGCGACAGAGATGTGTACGTCAGACCCGCCCCCGGTACATCCGCCAAGAACTCCGCGACGGGAGAACCTATGGTGTACAAACTAGAACGGAGCCTCTACGGCCTATCGCAGTCGCCTGCGCTCTGGAACGACACCCTGGACGAATCCCTCACGGTGTTCGGATGGACAAGGACTCAGTATACCAGCGGCAACATCATCGTGATTCTCACGGTCTACGTAGACCANCTGGACGTTGTCGGTGCCTTCCTGAACGCCCTCTGCGACAGAGATGTGTCCGTCAGACCCGCCCCCGGCACATCCGCCAAGAACTCCGCGACGGGAGAACCCATGGTGTACAAACTAGAACGGAGCCTCTACGGCCTATCGCAGTCGCCTGCGCTCTGGAACGACACCCTGGACGAATCCCTCACGGTGTTCGGATGGACAAGGACTCAGTATACCAGCGGCAACATCATCGTGATTCTCACGGTCTACGTAGACCACATTCTCATCACAGGAGGAGACCAGCAGCTCGTGGACCAGAAGAAGGAGCTCAACTTCAAGACCTTCGGATCGGTTCTCATCAACAGCGACAGCACCGGAGCGCTGCCAGTGGCCGGGAATGCCATGCACTCTCAACGCACGAAGAACGTGGCCCTGAGGTACTTTTTCATCCGGGAGCTAGTACTACGGGGACAAATCACTCTTCACCACCGGCCCAGCGAGCACCAGTTGGCTGATATCGCGACCAAGTACCTCCCAAAGCACCGATTGCCCTCCATCATTCAGCAGATCAAGGACTTCTCGCGTTGATCGAAGATCTGTGAAGCTTCCTTCCATACCCGCCATATGAGAAGGAATTTATTTTCGATACGATGCCAACAGAGGGGTCGAGGTAGACAAGGATATGGTGATGCCGTCGACCATTGTGAATTAGTTGATTGATCGAGGGGTCGTGTCAGGAAAATCGTGCGTCGAGACCACCAGTAGTCGGACACGGTTTGACCTTTGAATACGATTGCAGCAACTAGTCTGCGTAGCAGTAGAAAAGAATCCATCTCTCCGTGGCATGTGTTCTCTTGTTCTAGAATTATTCCGGAAGCATGCTAGGTCAAGGTTGACGGAACATCTACGTATAACGTGTGTAGCTTCTGGAAGCCTTCTGGAAACTTCTGAAACCTTCTGTAAGCTTCTGGAAGCGTTCTAGATCTAAATAGGGTGCAGTTGATACTCTTCTAGAACGTAGGAGGGCTTCCAGAAATCATTCTGGGAGCATTCTGGATCTTTCGTGTGATTGGCTTATTTGTCCGGTATTCAAGAAGATTGGTGCAGCCCTAAGCTTGCCCACCACTCTCACTCCTCTTCAGTACCAGCACCATCTAACTCGGGAGTCAGCAACTATAAAAGAATCTTCATATTTCCATTCCAAGTCTCTCGCGGTTGGAGACGCACAGAGTGTGAACCTCTGAGGTAGGCTACACAGCCTCCTGGCATTTGCAGCATCGTACTGCTGCTAGTGCACAGCGGAAAATCTCTGACATTTTCCACCAAAACATAAGGGGGGGGGCGGGGGGGGGGGCG